ATAATTAAAGTAAAAATAAACACGGGGAATAATAAAAGTCTACTGTATAAATAAAATGAAACGCGGACAAAAGCCTGGTTTTTACAATAACTTGACATTTCAAAATTAAATTTAATATTAAAGGTATATAAAGTTCTTAATGCAATAGTATCAATTAAATTAAAAATAAAAGTGGTTAAATAATAAAAGTCTACTGAATAAATAAAAGAACACCTGGCTTCTTTTGCTTTTATCTTTATAATTTTTAGTCATATAATTATTACAATTATATAGTTTCATTATACAATTATATAACTTTTATTTTTCGTAATGATTTCTATAAAATAATGCCGTTAAAATAAATACGGCATTATATTATAAAATAATGTTTATACGTTATTATTTTATAATATAATGCCGTATATAATTATAATAAACAAAAATTATAAAAGTAAAAGTTATAAAATTATATCAACAAAGGTTATATCAGTTATATCAACAACAAAAAGTTATATCAACAATAGGTTGTTATGTATGCATATCAACAACAAAAAGTTATATCAACAATAGGTTGTTATGTATGCATAAGGGAAGATGGGTAGGAGTGAGCCACTTTTTTTTAAATCGATTTTATTAAGGAAACCAAAAGTGGAAAAAGTATAGGATAAGGAGCCTAAGGTAGCCTAAGGTATTAGGTTTCTAATAGTAATACATGAAATATCAAAATATCTTCAGATTTTTGATAACTTGAGCAATAACGCAGGTGTTGCTACTGGTTCACTCCTACCCATGCATGGCTAGGAGTGAACCAAGCAAATGATCGCAGTGAGCCATTACCTTTAATTACCAGAAAACTAAAACTAGATACTTTCTTTAACTAATTTATTAAAAATTAAGTAAGTAACAACTTTATAATTAAGCATAACATAATTAAGTAATAATGTAACATAAATAATAATAAATTTAACACAATTTTAAAGTCTTGTAATGAAATAAACAAAATGTATAAACTAAAAAAAAAAAATTTGTTTTCAGTAACAATTGATTTTGGTAACAAAAAAAAAACTGTCATGAAATATGATAATTTCTTAATATTAAAATATAGTAAAAGTATATATATGTAATGAAAGTAATATACTAGCATATAGTATATAGAGAATAAAAATAATATTTAGCAAATACTTATATAGTCAAATACAACCTTAAATTTGTAATGGCAATGCTGCCTTTTACTGTTCTAGAAAAAGTTGGCCGAGATAGCAATATTTTAGAAGTTATTGCAGTTACTCTAATCCTTTTTTTCTTTTTGGATTAAATGCATCTTTCATATCTTTATTGGAAGTTTTCGCTTTCGAAGTTGTTCTTTTATAGACTCGAGGCATTAAAGCATATGGTAAAAATAAATGTAAAGTTTCACACAAGTTTTCTAATGATATACTAAATTATAAAAGTCAAACATAAATATGTTTTTACGCTGAAGTCAAAACTTTTTTAACGTGAAGTATTAGTGAGCCGTGGTTCACTCCTACCCGTAAAGGAATGGCTCATTCCTCCCCACTACCTGTACAACTGGATTAAAACATTAAATGTGCAATAAGTACGTGGTTTTTGCATGTAAAATACTTTGTTCTAAAAACTACTTTGTTTATTTGTAAAATTTCAACGACTATCTAATGTCTCGAAACAACCGGTATGCTCGCTAAAGAAGTTTCAAAAAATACAAAAAATTTACTTTTGCCCAGAAAAGAGTGGATGACAACGCGAATACAGACACCCGCACCAAGGAGTGGTAAAAAAATTGGATTGTGTTAACAACAATTTATATGTAACTACTTGGTGAAAATTTTGAGTCTTTTTCATTTCCCGTTTTAGCTGTAGGATCAACGACTCACTCCTACCCTTGGCTCACTCCTACCCATCTTCCCCTATATATTTCGGTTTTTGTAAATACGTACGAATGGGGCTTGGTAATGAGGCAAAATAATATCCTTTATATTATAAAATTTATATTATTTGTTGAAAAATGTAAAAGATAAAATGAATATAATGGGCTGTTAGTTAAAGAAAAATTTCAAAAATAATATTCATATAAAGAGTAACATTTAAAGAAGTAAAGAAAAAAAAATAAGTAAAAGTGTACGTCTTTACTAGAACTATACAACCTATTTATTAAAAAATTATAATGAAAACAATAATATTCATGGCTTAGCTACAGTTCTTCTGCTCGTGGTGGCTACTATTGTACATGTCTTTTGTTTGTGACCCATGTTTTAAAAAAGCTGATTACACAACTACTCGAATAGTTAAGTCATTCTAAAAAAAAATTTGACCTTCTTGATTCACATGCCCAGAGGACACGCATTTTTCTAGATTGTCCAGACGTCCGTAAAACGTCCGACAGATGTCCCCCGGACGACACAAGCCTACTAGGTGAACAGATTAAATACCACCTTGAAACACTTGAAAAATAAGCACTTTTACAGACAGCAATGAAAACTTCAAGTATTGTTTCAGTTATTCTTGCTAAACATGCCAAAAAAATGAAAAGATATGCAAGCTTATTCTAACCTCAGTGATACGTCTGATCCTCTTGAAAATGCTAAACACATTGCTCATGACAAGCATATTATAGAGAAAATATAATATTAGCTGCATATTGTGTAAAAATGAAAGTAAAAAATGTTGTCCCAAAGGCAGTGTATTCGCAGTGTATATCGTCAGTTAAATTTAGAAATTGCTGCTTCTTATGAATTAACAGAAGTAAGAAACTCCATTGGATTTGTTAATGAAATTTACTTTTCTTAAACTGTTCTCCAAAATGGAAACTTTTTTTTTTTTTTGAATTTTTTATTGCTGGCTATGAGTCTAAAGCTTTTCTTTCTAAAGTTAATGGACTCTGTAAAATCCGTTGGGCGGAACGCCATACTGCATTTATAAGCATTTATAAAGTTTTACGTATTTTTACGCAAGCAATTTGTTCACTGCAGGAGTATAAAGATCTCGGGAAGAAAGAAGTTGGGATTGTGAAGCTAAAACTCTAGCACAAGGTTTGCTTGCTAGTCTCATGAAGTTTCCAATTCTGATAACATTGATTTGCGTCATAATTTTCTTAGCCTATATAAAATCTCTTGCAGTAAACTTTCAAAAGCGTGCAATTGACATTTCAAGTGCAAAAAATCTTCTTCATCAAACAAAAACTGAAATTCAGAGCAATTTTAATAAGATAAATTTAGAATTTTCTTTTTGGTACAGTGAAGCTGAGTTTTTTTAGGCTAACAATTTGTTCGCTGCAGGAGTGTGAAGATCTCGAGAAGAAAAAAATATGGATTGTGAAGCTAAAACTCTAGCATAAGGTTTGCTTGGTAGTCTCATGAAGTTTCCAATTCTGATTTCTTAACCCATATAAAACCTTTTGCAGTAAAGTTTCAAAAGCGTGCAATTGACATTTCAAGTGCAAAAAATCTTCTTCATCAAACAAAAACTGAAATTCAGAGCAATCTTAATATAATAAATTTAGAATTTTTATTTCGGTACAGTGAAGCTGAGGTTCTTGCTACACAAGCTGACATCACTAAAAGCTAACCTCGATGTATAGCATAAAAACAACAGGTACATTGCAAAAATGTCCCAGCAGAAACAATAGTAGATTAGTTTTAGATTGCAGTAGCAATTCCTTTATTCAATCATTTAAAAATGAAGTTTGTCACACGTTTTGTAAAAAATGACAGAAAGCCTTTAAACATTCTTCAATTACAGCTGTTAAACATCATCTAATGTAATTTTTACTGATCTTGATTACTGGATGGATGAGATATCTGAGATGGAGTTGAAAAGTAAACTAAAAAGGTAAAAAACATATTTATTCAAACATTGCAGAAAGTAAAATACCACTAGAGTTAAGCAAGATTCTTACATGGAGGCGAAGATGTCTTCCCAAACATTCGCAAACTTTTAACTCATTTGTGTAATTTTGTAGAACGAAAAGACTGCTAAGACGAACACGTATCTGCGTTCAACTACACATCAAACTGCATTTGACTGGTATGTGTTTAACGAATATATACAAAGAGAGAGAAAAAGAGACATTCCTAATATTATTGAACAATTCAGTCGCGTTAAAGCTAGGCGTCTTTATAATCATCAACCTGCTGTATTTTAAGTATGCTAATTAGTTTTTTTTTTTTATTATTTTATGTATGAAGTGAATTAAATTTAATTGTTTGTCTCAAAATTGTTTTGCGTAAGTGGAATAAACTTTCATAATTTAGATACCACCTCCAACATATTCTGGTTGTGCCATCGCCTTGACAATCCTTTTATTGAAAAATAATAAAGTAAAAAATAAATAAAAATTCATTGTTAAAGAAAGTTTTTAAGAGCAACATCCAGACTCGATTTCAAAAAAAACATTCATGGTTAGAGATTTTTTTATTAAACACTCATGGTTATCACCATAAGTTAATCAAAAAAAAAAAAAGTTGATACATTCTGTGACATGTACACTCTTAAACAAAATCAGGAATCCGCAACTGAAATTCAGAGAAAACTCACTGAATTAATCATTGCGTTTAGGCACAATTGATTTTCAGGCGTAATCGCCTGAATTTCAGCCAATTCTTTTTCTCTGGAAATCAGGGAAACCAAGCCTTCTGAAAATCAGGGATTTTGATGCACTGAAATTTAGGAATTCTATTACTGTATATTCAGGGAAAAACTTTTGTCAACTCGGGTTTTTTATACCGACATAATATATATTATATTGTCGGCATTTTTGTTGTGGATAAAATTGATTATGAAACAATCTCGTCCTAATCTTGTTAAGTAAAGTTTTTGGGCACGCCTATTTTAACATGGTTATGCTGTTGCGCGTCAAAATCTATATTATACTATATTATTCAGGACATTTCACATTCATAACTGTATTTGATTACAGTTACTTAAATTTATGCTGATAGAATTCATTTTGATTTCATTAATCATGTTATTTAGCTATAATTTGCCGGTAGAGATGATTACAATAATTAAGTTAAAAAAAGTTATTATCATAATTACAAACATTACAGTTTTTAGTATATACTGCAAATAAAATAAAAAAGATTTTGTTGATGCGTGCATTTGAATAACAATTAATAAATTTTCTATATCACAATATGTGCAGATGTTGCTTATTTAAAAGAGTGTCAAACATATTTAACGTGCTTTTAAAAAAGTAACAAGATCTCGTACACATTCTGAGATAGGAACATTATCTAAGATCCCATAAAAATGCACTTGCAAAAACTGCCAAACATGACTAACACTTTGGTCGTACTCAATTTGACCGATGTAGTGTAGCTTGAAACACTTATCAACATCAGATACCATACAACACGATTCAATAACTTCGTTTTCTACAACAATAAAGGATCGGCTAATGTTGCCAGTTACACCCAATGCAATAATTATTGATTGTTTAATACTGTCACTTTTGATTTTAGAAAGAATTTCGTCCATTGAAGTTCCATACTAATAAAAGGTAATATAAATATAGTTTACGCATTTTAAACAAATTAAACATAAAATTAAGACCTCCGCTAAAAAATTGTACACAATATAATAAACGCAGCCATTGCTTACAGGATGAAGCTGGATAAATCGCTTGCAAACTTCAGCAACCGAGGCACGTTGCCGATTTCGCATAGGAACCGTTAACATAAGTGGAAGTAGTAATAGAGCGTATTCTTCTTTGGTATCTATAAAAATATTGCTAAATACATATATTACCATTAGATACACATATATAAAGTTATTAAAACAATATAATTTTTAAAAACTTAATTAATAAGTTAATTCTAACTCATTTGGTGATAAGAAACTATTTTTATTTAAACATGAATAAATTAAACAAACCTTCAAGTAGGTTGTTGTTAGCTGCTATTTCGTCAAGTAATATTGTAAGATCGGTTGACAACCCTTTGCGTTTTCCTTTGGCATACAAAAGGATCCGTGAAAAACCTCTCCCAAAAAAAGTCTCCCAGCCCATCCACTAACCGTTTGCTGTTGGGTGCACTTCTGCAGAATTCCTCTTCAAACTAAATGCCATAGTAATTGTTAATTCAATAAAATAAAGTATATTGTTATTAAATAATTTAATTAGTTTATAAGTTTACCACTAATATCAACAGTGACAACTCATAATATCATCAACTAACTACACAATGATTACTGAAAGCAAACTAAAAGCTTACCGCAGATGAGTAAATATTTCTTAATGGGGGAAATGATGAAAAAAATGTTTTTATTGGAGGTCTTCCTTCCCTCACCCAGAGACTGCGACTTTCATAAGTTGATGTCATAATAATTTTTATGCGATTCTCGTTAGGTGTCTCGTTTAAAAGTTCATGGGTGAGCACCCTTTCATCTTCTGTAAAATACTCTAATGAGAAACAATAATGAAAATAATAATAAAATAATAATACAGCATTTAAAGAAACTATCATCTTTACTATATTTTTAAAAAGCATATTTGAATACAGCACTTAAATACGCCATTAAATATAAATAGAATAAAACTGTTAATATATCAGAATGAAAATTAAAAAATATATTTTAAAATATCTAAAACATATAATTAAATTATTACACTCTACCATTATTAATAACAAACTTTTGCAACAATAGTGTTATTTGTATAAATATATATTTTAAATATATACTTAATGCAAATATTCATTCTACAAACATACAGTTAAAGCAAAAACCTGTTATGGGTCCATTGACTAGATCAACTGCATCTGTTCTTAGGCGCTTCTGATGCGGCTTGTGTGGCTTGTCAGTAATTGGCAGTTGTTTTCTCAGCGTTTTCAAACGCTCTTCAATATAGCCTGATGGGGAATATTTTTTAACTTTTCCGTTTCGTAATACTTCAACATACTGTCTGAAGTAAGCATCCTTAAGTAAATAAGAAAGTAAAAATATAAAGATTAGTAAAACTAAACTAAAAAAATTTCAACTATTATCCCATTTCCCAAAATATGCAAATAAAAGTTTCAATTAGACTTATAACAATACTTACATAACCATCACCATTACCACTTCTTAAGGTTGGAAAGCGGTTTATCACTTCTAGTGCTAAAGCCTTTTTTTTCTCTGTATTGGGATAGCTGCAACAACAACAACAAAAAAAATTATGCTGTGTTTAATAACTTATTTACTTCCCCATTTAATTTTTGCAGTAAATCATTTATTTATAAATTTTAATTTAAATTTAAAATAAAATTAATTAAATTTAGTTTTATTAACTGATTTTACATACTAATACCAAAAAATGCAAGTTTCAAAATTAAAATATTAAAGGTTTCCTAACCAGTTACTATCTTTTACAAGATTTCCAACAATAATACGCACAAAAAGATCTTTCATCAAGACTAACTGCCCGGTTCGTTCATATTCGGATAAGATTGATGCACCTTTAGGGTGATCTTTCAACATAGAGTCAATGTCCTTAACAAAAATTAAAATTCACTTCTACAATATTACAAATAATAAAATATACGTAATTTTATAAATAATTTCGAAAAGTTTTTAAAAGTTTCTAACAAAATTATAAATAAAATGCATTTATGATTAAATTGAACAACAAACATAACTCACAATAGCAATTTAAAAAAAATTATAGAAAAAAAAAATCTTTATTAGCAAATGCAAGCTAATAAAGATAACTATTTACTATGCTTATTAATAAATATAACAATTTTATTAAAAAAGCCAAAAGTTTTCATTTAATATTATTTATTAAATAAATTTCACTCACAAACTTATATTGACATTGATGTGAACTAGAAGAACTGCTGACAACATTAAAACTTGTTTGATCTGTTGTGATTGTTGTTGTTGGTTCAATAGACTGTCTTACATCAGTATATGTAGATGCAGAGCTTTCTAAAGGTATATATGCTTCATTGGTATTGATAAGACAAGGAGGCTGTACATTCTGTAATTAAACAAATATGCTAAGAATAATATAAGTTAACACCTTTGTCTTCATCCAAATATTGAGATAATAGAGAGCGATTTACATACTGATACATATTTCAATACCAATAGTTAATAAAAAAGTTATACATAATTGTTGATATATTAGAGACAAGTATCAATAAAAATCTCAAAGTTACATATACAGTGCTTGAAGTGGGGCATGATGTCATCGCTTTTTTTTAAAGTATAAACCATTTGGCCACCTTTTTTAAAATCTCTGTATATAACAATGATTAGGATGGTGAGGTGGGATGATATTTTTAATTTACTGAATACTATCCTGTTACTTTTTTTCTCCACTTTGAGCACTGTATATATATATATATATATATATATATATATATATATATATATATATATATATATATATATATATATATATATATATATATATATATATATATATATATATATATACACATATATATATATACACATATATATATATATATATATACATATATATATATATGAATATATTTACAAAAAGTATTTAACATTAACAAAATCAAATAATTAATGGTCAAATTATATTAATTGGTAATTTCAAAAAGCATAAGTATCACTAGTAAATAATACAATACAAAAGCAAAGCACACAAACACACATGGTATCAAGAAAAACAACTTATTTAAGTAAAATTGATAATCTTATAATGTACATTCTACAAATCAAAATATTTGACTTCCATATTATATCATATTTATGTGTTATTTGCACATAATGTGTGACGCAATGAAATGTGCACAAAGTGACAGTTTGGATTGTAACAAGTACCTGAAAAAACAGGATGATAATCATGCAAACTATCAAGTGTGTAACAGCTGACAGTGTTGGTGTCATCACAAGTTACAGTGTAGCTGTGAAGATGCTCATCAAACTGAATTAGCCTAAAATTAAGACATAACAAATGAGCTTTTTTGTCCATTATCACAATCTTGTCTATACAAATAAAAGTTGGCTCTCCATGTTCATTAATGTCTGCTATTAGTGACATTCCAGGTTTGTAAACAGTACCATAGGCTTCAATAAAATTTGCAATATATACAACAACATGTTTATCTGCGAAATGTGATGATATTGTTTCTCCATTTGGCACAAGATATAAAAGTGTTTCTGTAAATGTGCCCACAACAAGACTTTGTTTAAAACCAGTTTTTTTCCACCACTGACTACATTGTGCAAGTTGATGACGAAATGCAAGAGTGTACGCAATGTTACGAAAATTGCACACAATGTGGGCTATTCTCTTAACAAAATTGTGTTTGGCTTCAAAACGCATACATCCATACACCACATCCTGGCTAGTGGCCCATTTTTTAGGATTAGACTTGGATAATGTATAAGCCTGTGGTGTTTGTACATTAAATTCTTATTTGGAAAAAGATTTTTGAACAGTGAGTTATGGTCAGCAATCAAAGCAGCTAAGTATGTCATGTCAGATTTGTGGACTGCAGGTGAAAATACAATGTTTGAAATTTTTAACAGTAGCAGCAAAAGTTTCCAGTGTTCAGAGTCACTTGGTACTTTATCACCAATCAACAAAGGCAGGACAATTAATAAAGTCATTGTTTGACTAGATCTCTGTCCGAGAAGAGAACTGTTATCTTTTAACGATTTCCAGTTATCAGACTGGGTTTTTTGTCTTGTAATGTTAATCCATAAGGAAAATGTCTAAGACGATTATTTAACAAATTTAAATCAAAAAGTTTTGAATGTAAATAAAATTATAAAGAACTAACTTGATTTCTAAAGGAGCTATACCTTCCAAAATATCATGCATGATGTCTCCAGTATCATTTTTAGCCGGATGATAGTACTTAAGTTCTTTCAAAATACTTACAACTTTAATTCCAAACTCAGCTTTATAAACTTGCTGTGCTGCTAATTTATTAACAATTGCCTCATATTGTGCTACAGTTCGTTGAAGCTTTGGAATTTCTGTAAAACTGTTTTGCATTGTTTTTTGTCAGCTGTGCATAGATCATAACAAAAGTCACTATTAAAAGACTCTACAAAGCCTAAACAAGTATGAAGTCCAAGGTTGTCCCCTGTAATTTGACCAAGAATGCATCGCACACGTCTTGAAGTTGCTTCACCCTGAACTTCAATTTGAAATCCATCCTCCATACACTTTAAATCATCAACAATTGCTCTTAAAACTGCATTAATGCCATACTTTTTTATGTCATTGACATATGTCAATGCAACTAAATGTACATTTGCTAAATTAGAATTGAAAATAGCTGGAAAATTTTTCAAAATAAAGTAGAATGCTCCAAGCTTGTGTATGGACGCTTTTGTTCCTATAGGATTTACTGTTTCCACATCATCATAATAAAGTTGAATAACAAGTTCGTGTGTAATAAAATCAACTGAAGGCAAGGGATGGCGATTTCGGTGTGCTTGGTAATTACTTCCATCTTGGTAGTCACACAAGATTCCACCTTCAGCTATAGTTTCGTTAAAAGTGCAGGCTGACCAACAATCTGAATGTCTAAAAATATACTTAAGGGTTTTGCTGATGGGTACAAACATAAAAGTGCCTTCTACTTGAACTTGCTTGCCCATCTTTGTTTCCCACCGATGTCCCAATACAATTTCAGTAGGGATATTTAATGCGCCAACATTTTCTAGATATGTACTCAGCTTTTTCACAGTGTCAATATTCTGGAATGGATGTTTAAGAGCAGTAAGAAAAATTTCTGCAGTGTTTTTATTCTCTAAACTATTCATAGTGAATACTTCACTGACTTTATGTTGCACAGCACAAGCAAAAACAGAAAACATCTCATCCAAACCATTACGGATGTCATTTATATTGCTTAATGGAATAGCGGCAGACATTATATTAAGAAGAAACCTGGCAGCTGGTAAGAATATTCCTCTATGGTCAAAACATTCAGCTATATCAAGAATTGGTTGTGCATCAGGAGCATCATTAAAATTATTAAAATCTTCTGGCATAAAGCTGTCTCGGGTATTAATATTGCTTTGTGGTAAATCAAATAATTGATTAGTAACAAAAGGCACTTTCTGAGCTTGCTTTTTAATATGAGAACGCACATGTTTTTGAAAACTATGAAAAGATGTAAATAATCTTTTGCATCTTTTTTGGCCACATATTAGTTCACATGGCTCCTCAAGTGCATGTATACCTTTCAAATGGCAAAGTAAAAAATTTATTGTAGGGAAATTGCAAGTACATTTAAAGCATGTTTATTGCATTTTTATTGATTAATTTTATTAGTGAACCTGTAAACAGAATAGTTTTAGTTGAAAAATTACCTTAGAATATATAGCTAAAAATACACTCTTAATCTTTAAAAAATCTCCAAGCTTTGGAAACATTAACTTTAAATCTTCAATGGTAACCAGCACCATCGCATCAGCATCAATACCATTTTCTTAAAAAATATTAATTTAAAAAAATGGATTTAATTTTTTTTTCTTATATAGACAAAATAGATAATTTAACATTTAATTCAAATATTATATTTTGAATATATAGAAACATACATTGAATATTTTTTTGAATTTATTTCAACTTTAATTAGTGCTGTTAAATTTGCATCTAGTACTGAAGGTATTACAGTACTACAAGTAAATTGAAAATTAAGTTTATTTAAATTATTACTTCCAAATTTTATTAAAAAAAATAAATTACTAATCAAGTCTAATGTACAGAAAATTAACATACCTTCAAAAACCTGCATACTATTCTCTAACTTCTTGAGAGACAATTCTTCAAGAAACGCATGAAACAATTCAGAGGGCAATTGAGCCATACTCAATTGTCAAGTAAATCAAAAAAACTAATTTATATTAAGAAACCAGTTAATTAAACTTTATTTATCCATGGCCTACTTAAATTACACGGCCTGATTTGCTGCATTTTCCATAAAAAATAAAGAAGCCAGTTTTTTTACGCCATAAGTATAAAAACTTCATTTTTTTATGGTTAAAAGTCTTGTTTGCACTCTAATTGTTTTATTATAATTTTATTAAAATGGTTTAATGATAGTTAGATCTTCTTTGAGTACTTACATTATTTTGTGCTGCGTTTTCTGTTAACTGATTGCCTGCTTCAATTTATTCCAACAACACAGAATACTGAAATAGGCTTTCAGATAACTATCATTTCAGATAACTATATCAACACATACCAACATGCTACTAAAAATAATCTTTCATGTTGCTAAGATTGCCTAAAACTCTCCATTGAACAAAAAAAAAGGTTTGTAGTTTTGTATTTTTTTATAATTGAAATTGAAAGAATGAAAACATTTTTGCTAGAAATGTTTATTTTGTCTTTGTCTCTTTTGGAATTCTTTTACTTGATCTTTTCTCAATGGATATGAAATTTTTTTACAAATTATTATAAAAAATATTAATAGCAATACAAGATCTACATTTGATTCCCCACTTTTAGTAGCTTTTATTTGTAAAATTGACACTGCTACATCAAATCTTAAAAATTTGTTTTGCAAATTTTTAATTGAAAAAGCATGACTGCAATGTTTTATTAGAATAAGAGAAATTACATAAAATACTAAAAAGATAACAAATAAAATTAGACAGAGGTTGAATTGAATATATAGGTTCTTCTCTTTATAAAATAATGTTTATTGATCATAAGTTTAACAGCAAAATCTTTTTGTTAATTTTTACCAATATAACTTGCTTTAGTGTATATATATATATATATATATATATATATATATATATATATATATATATATATATATATATATATATATATATATGAATTAAGTATGATACACAGTTTCGTCAAATATTGTTGATGTTGACAACTTGTTTGTTGTTTCCAAAATATGTGACTTGATAACTAATTTTTCTTGCTTTTTCTTGCCTGTTTTATAATTGATCTTTTAATAAACTTTAAGAAATATATTCCCTGCTTAAGTTACTTCAACATAGTCTCTGGAAAAATCAAATGAAAAAGAAGAAAAAAACAAAAACATAGTTTATCAAATAACAAGTATGTTTTAAACACTCCTTTTCTAAACTAAATGATAAATTAATAATTTTCCATCTCCAGTATATGCTTTATGAAACTATAAAAATGCATTAACATTTGTAGAATGGTTATCGTTAACAACAGATCTTGATTTAAATTCAGATTTGTGCATTGTGGTAATACACTCATCAATTTCTTTTTTCAAACATAAACCTGTTATGTAAACTTTAGGTGAGGATTTCAAAACATAAGAATAAATTACAATCATTTAAACAAAATCATACAAACAATCATAAAAACAAAAACAAATTCTTTATAAAAATTATTTTCTCAATCTTCATCAAATTGTTAAGCACTTTGGGCTGCTCTTTGGAAGTATATCTTACCCACAAGAAGCAAATAATCACTTAATACCAAATTTTTGTCAATAGTTTTTTTAATATATTATAGTTTTTCAATTTGTAATTTTCACCACTGCGAAACCATTTAAATAAGTTTAAATAAGCATTTATTAGGCAATGAGAAAAAAAAAGAATTTTATTAACAGCTATTGACTTCAAAACAGTTGGTATGCCTGATATTTCTTGCCTACTGTAAATAAATGACCTAATTTGTTGCATTTTAATTGCTGTATGTTTGAGACATGATGCATAATAGAGTATTTACATAATAGAGTAAATACTTTGAAGAAAAATTTATGTTTTCTACTTAATAATTGCAATTATAATAAATAAAAAAACTACAAACCTTTAAAATTATTTCCAATGGAGAGTTTTAGGTAGTTTTAGCAATATTTAAGATTATTTTTAGTAGCATGTTGTAATTTTGATATAGCTATCTGAAAGCCTATTTCAGTATTCTTTGTTATTGGAATAAACTGAAGCAGGCAATCAGTTAACAAAAATTCTAGCAGAAAATAATGTAAGTACTCAAAGAAAATCTAACTATTATTAAACCATTTTAATAAAATAAAAATAAAACAATTATAGTACAAACAAGACTCTTAACCATAACAAAAATGAAGTTTTTATACTAGAGCCGTAAAAAAACTGCTCTCTTCAGGCCGTGTAGTTTAAGTATAGAAGTTATACGTAAAATAACTTATAAGTTATATAATTATAAGTTAAACTTATATAATAGAAGGTATATCTTCTATTGACTTAAGTATAACTTCTATTGACTTAAGTATAACTTCTATTGACTTAAGTATAACTTCTATTGACTTAAGATTGATTTAAGTAGGCCATGATATATTATAAATAATAACTCATAAATTTTATGAAATTTATAATAACTTCATATATTGTATATGAAGTTATAATAATTGCTTCATATACAATATATGAAGTATTTGAATACAATAATTATATTATAATAACTTAATTTCCGTAATAAGTATAACATTTTAAAAGCTTTTATTTTGCAACTCTTACAACAAAGCACTCAATTTTTACAGAAATTTCCACGCTGTACATGTACTTACCACGCTAGAAATTTCCCTTTTAAATATTTCGATATGGACTTAACACGTTTTTCTAGATTTGAGCGCCTGAATAAATCAGAGAACGAAATCGCCTGAATTAATTAACTGAAAATCAGGAAATTGGCCTGATTTTAAGGGCGAAAAAATTACATGA